GACCGTGATGCACTATGACCTTGGACTCCCAGCCTACAAAACTGTGAGAAGTGACAGTCAGCTGTTTAAGCTCCTGATCTGTCGTATTTTGCCAGGGCAACCCCAGCTGACGAAAGGCACACCCTGACATATCTGTGAGCTGCAGGCACTTCAACAAGGATGGGCTCCTCAGCTTCTAAGGAACCGAGTCTCCCAGCAGAAACCAGAGCACACCCTGCACCTGGTGATGGAGGACGCCCTGCCACCCACCAGGGACGACTGCAGCCATTAAAATGTCAACACTGAGGACCACCCTGTTCAAAATCCCACTTGTCCCACACCAGGCTACTTGTCAGGCTATGTTCGAATGACAAGCCAGTTGTTAACAATGCCCATTTCCTCTGCCCTCAGTCTTAAACCAACTCCATGACTCCTAGAGGTAAAAGCATCAAATCCACAGCGTCACATCCTACACTGGCCACTAGATGGAGCAAGGTTTCGCACCAAAAAGACACCGGAGGTGAAGTTGATTTCTCCCAAGTGCTCTGTAAATAGACTCATTGAGTTTCACAGCTGGTGGTGGCAAGTTATATAAGCCCAAGGTCCTGTGAGGGTAGGACTGCAGAACAGACCATTCACAAAATATTTATTAAACACCTATTTGTACTGGTCTCTGAGTTTAGAAAAATAACGGGCCCTGTCTACTTTCCAGGAGCGCCAAGGTTGGAGAAGGAAAACACACACGCAGAGTGCACATTTCCCGAACACCCCAGACTCTGCCAGACACTTTTCAAGTCCTAGCTCTGATGATGCCCAAAGGTGGAGAACTTGTTCCAGTTCCTCTGGCAGAGCCAGGACTAAACCCCAGGTCTGTTTGCCTCTCACAGCCGTACTCTTCCCCCCACACCCTCCAGCCCCTCTCCACCAGTTCCCCACGCCAAGTGGAAGGCAGAGCAGGTTGGGTGTAAACCGAAGTCACCAGAAACTCGCGAGACAGAGCTAACTCTGACTGGGGAAGTCCAGGAGGGCATCACAGAGGTGGCGTTTATTTTAGGGTTAAAATAAAGTCCATTAGATGGACTTGACAGGAAAGGAATTCCAGGGAGAAAGTGGCATGTCCTGATGGCACAGAGCTTTGCAGGGGACAGCCTTTTGTAATGAATGGCAGGTAGCCAGTGGGGAGCGTGGGTGTGTGAGGGGGGATGTGGCCAGGGCTAAGGCGGAGAGGGCCACCGAGGGGAGGACCATAAAGAGCCCCCCGCATGTGGTTAAGAAGTTGAGATCTGTTCCCATAGGCAATGGGAAGCCAACAAAGGCTCTCGGAGAAACTTCAGATGTTAAATTTAAATGGTCAATTTTTTCCGGGAAAGAATGTATATTCATACTTTAGAAGATTATACAACTCAGTGCCTCCTTTGAAAAGAAAAACAGTCATCTTTCCAAACATATGGATGCTACGTCTGTCCACTTAATTTTATTCTGTACCACACGGTGCTCGGAATTTTTAGAAGATGAGTTGATGGACTGACTTCACAGATCAGACTTTAGTAGAAGACATCTTCATCTGCTATTTAAAAATTTCCCCCACTAGCTCCAGCCAAAGCCCGATTTACCAATCTAATAAAAGGCCGAGGTGAGGTCAGGCGACAACTCGTAAAGTACTTAGACACGCCTGGCCCACGCTCGGAGTTCACTTACACATGTGCACACACACACAGACCAAAGGCGTCCAGCACCGGGTTCTCACAAACATCGGCCCCACCTTCGGCAGCACCCAACGGTACTCACAGACCTGCGTGCACGCTGTCCCCCGGAGACAAGGCACTCCAGACCTCAAAAACCGCCTGCTACACCCAGAGGAGGCACGGTGTCATTTTGAAAACAAAGGTCATAGGTTTTCAGAAACTAGAATTTACTTCCATTCCAGGCTTTCTAAATGAACTGGCTGTAAACTTTTACAAGGACTTTTCTCAAAGAGCGTCCTTATGGATTTATATATTACTCATACATCAAGGCTCTCCCAGTAAGCCAAACACACATCTGGAAGAAAACTTTAATCATCTCATTGTGTCCAAGGGCCTGGATGTTTGCGGTTGATAAGATACCCAGACCCTGTCTGAGACTTTGTGTCTTTATCAGATACTTGCCATTCATCAGATACAACCTCAAAGAGAAGTGTAACTGGGGAAGGTTACGAACCACATTCATTACGGCGCTTCAAGGCTTAGGGAAGTGGGATGACGTGCCTACTGTCACAAAGAGCTCACGAGCGGCAGAACAGGGTTTACGCTCCATCTGTCTGCTGTCTCAGGCTGTTCTCTTTCCACACTGCACCAGTTGCCTCAGTGGTACGGACTTATTGAGCAGATTCTGAAGCAGAGACTAAATAGCCAGCCCTTCAATATCTACAACCCTGTCGTGTTTATAAAAGGGAAAAGAAACGAGTATAAAGGACATTAAATGACTTGGTCTGGATTCAACATGTGCAAGCAAACTGATAACTCAGCCTCCCAGCAAACACGAGCAGGCACTGCCACAAGGTGAAGTCACGCTTAACTAGCATTCTAGAATGTTACAAGTAGAAGGCACGTTTAATGCCATCTGGGCTATCTCTCTTCCTGCTGGAGGTAAATTTCTGCATCAAAAGGAATGAAAGAAGAAAAACCAGGCCAGAGTTCTCTAGTTTCAATAATTGGGTGGTTTGCTTACATGTCTGCACTTTTATCTACACTTGCTCTGAGAGCTATCTCACTTGCTCAAAAATGTAAACTTCCCAAAGCAGGAACTGAAATGTAAACACTTGTGCTTTTCAGCGGGGGTAAAGGCTCGGGCTGGGGCAGCCAAGGAAACCAGGACTGTGGCTGTGCTATCGCCGAGGTTCAGTTTTGAGTGTTTCAATGTCTCCACCTTGTGGAAACTGTCAGCACTGACCTTCATTTACTGAGGATTAAAAGACAGATCCAGCAATAAAGTGAACTCCATGGCAGGATACAGAAATCTCAAAACTACAGTGAAATTTGATAATGATAACCTTGAGGCCGTGCTGGACACCTAAAGTCATCTAGTTAATAATAAAAAGATTAAATCACACACAACTTCATTTTAGGAATGGGTATGTTATTATTTTCATGTTTACAAAGAACTAGAAACCCAAAATGGTGCTCTAAGTTAACTGGGTCCCAGTCATTCTGGAGGGCAGAAATGTGTTACGTTGGAGGGGTTTGGTGGCTCCTATCCTCTAGTCTTTCACTGCAGGGTGGTTCTAAAAGTATAAGGCAGGAGCCAAAGCACCTCTATGTCTAAACTTCTAATTAAGTCACAGAACACTTCTAGTCAGACGGGTAGAACTAAGCAAAAGTAAATCAGTTGTGAAATAAACTCCAGCAGCTGTGCTCTTTAATGCATCAGTAAGACATCGGGCGAGGCAGTGAGGCACAGCGGTGAAGGAACAGGGCTCTGCAGCCCTGGCTCTGGGCTCTGCCTCCTAACCACTGCAGGACCTTGGGCAAGTTATTTAACCTTCCTGAGCCTCAGTTTACTCACCCGTAAAATGGGGATTATGTTACCACCTACCTCAAAAGACAGCTGTGAGTGCAGCACAAGGTTACATATGTAACCTCCATATAAGCACGGAGCTTGGTGTGCAGTGGGAGAATTAGCTATTATTCATTTATGAAAATACAGACTCACCCACGGGTTCTTGATCACTGTTCATGTAAGTGAGTGGCCTGAGGTTTTATTTTTCCCTTTAAGATTATTAGTTTATTTCTAGAGAGAGGAAGGGGAAAGACAGACAGGGAGAGAAACATTGATGTGTGAGAGAAACATCAATTGGCTACTTCTTGCATGACCCTCAGCTGGGGACGCGGCCAGCAACCCAGGTATATGCCATGACCGGGAATTGAACTGGTGACATTACACTTCACAGGCTGGCGCTCAATCCACTGCGCTACACTAGCCAGGACGTGGCCTGAGTTTTATGCCTGATTTTTATTACCTGTAATTTTGTCTGCTAGAATGCTAGAGCAAGGAAAGATCTTGGAAAACTACGAAAACCGAGTTAACAGATGAAGTCTCAGGCAAGTGGAATAAAGAGATGCGCCTTCTGTTTACACAGTGGCCTGGAGTGGAGCTAAAACAAGAGAAGAGCCTCGGCGTGGCTTACAGAGCATGGCATCAAGGGCGGGCTGGGCTTGTTCCTTCATCCGCGGATCCACGTGTTCATTCCTTCAGCAATATTCATAAGCTCCTATGCCTACAATGCACTGGGGATTCGGTGGTGAACAAGCCAGACAAGGTCCTTGCTTCACGGAGCTTATTATTGCAAACAGGAGAGGATGGAGAGACCGTAAAATATAAATGAATAATCAGGATCATTTCAAATAGTGTTAAGATTTCCAAGAAGAGTAACAGAGGGTGAATGAGGGGACAGGGGATGGGGATGGGGCAAGGCCACATAAACTCCTTCAAGTTGAACAGTCAAGGTGGGCTCCTCCAAAGAGGTGCCAGCGGAGCAACAAGAAGGAACCAGCCATGCAACGATCTGGGGAAAAAATCCAGGCAGAGAAAGAGATGGTGCAGAGGCCATGAGGAAGGAAAGAGCTTGATGAGATGGCAGAACTGAAGGAACAGCCACCGTAGGGGAAGCAGGGGGTGGGGAGGCTAGGGAACCAGGAGACCTGACAGCCAGGTCCCGTGGGACCAGGCAGGCCATGCTCAGGGGCCTGGATCCCACCCTGAGTGCAAAGTTTGGCTTCAGGAACTGACACAACACGGTTTGCTGTCAAGTGTCACTCCGGCCACAAGAGCAGCCTTGCTAGACCCGCCCAGGGAGTAACTGCCGACGCACCACACAGCCTTGGACTCTGACATGGAGAGAGAGCAGAAAGCCAAGCAGGCAGTTCGATCTGCTCCAGAGAACCTAAACAAAGCCCTGGCAAAAACCAAACCAGCCCACCGGCAGCCCAGGTGCCGAGCGTCACCGGTTCGTGAAAGGGGAGAAGCCCTAGGGAAGGACTCACCCGCTCGTGATGTCGTCCGTCCGGATGTTCTTGCTCAGGACGTCCCCGTCGCTCATGTAGCCGGGGGCGTCCATGCTGATGCCCTCCAGGTCCATCTCATCTCCTGCCTTGTCTGAGACGTCCACGTGGCAGACACTGCTGCCCCTGGAGGCCAGCTGCCTCCTCAGGGGCGCAGAGTACACGTAGCGGCCCGACTCGGCGTTGATGAAGCGGCTGGCGTTGGCTCGAGGCGGGTACCCATTGCCCATAGAGGGGGCGTCCCCTGCTTGGAGGCGGGGGCTGGACTGGCCGAGTCTCCAGGAGAGAGGGGTGGGCCTGCCGGTCAGGCTGAGGATACTGCGTCCGCTGATCTCCGTGGTGACGTTGGTGTCAAACGTGGTTTCCAATGTGCTAAAAACATGAAAGCCGCCTTGGGTTAGACCCTAGGGTGCCTAGAGTCCGTTGCAGTTTATAGGTTCTTTAATCTTTTTAAATTATGAACTATTCCCCCTACACAAAATAGGATCAAATGACAGGCATCATGTACCACCCTCTGTTAAACTGAAAAGAGGAAGATGTACACCCAGTTAACATTCTGGAAAGCCCATGGAAGACCTTTCCCACTAAAACACGGTACAAGGTCCCCGTTGCCAACACTCCAATGGAATTACTTTAACTACTCTTAAGCTTTCTAACCCGGGAAGGGAAACAGAAAGTGCCGGACGGGTAACAGTGAGTGTAAGGGTACCACCTGCCCATTTGCCCATCACAGCTCTCCTTTGCAAAGGCAAGACGCACCTGTCCTCTGGGACGCTCCTAATACCCTGTCTCATTTCCTCAGCTCCCTCCCTCCCAAGTAGGTGGGGAGGGCCTTGACTTTCTAAGTCTCCAAGGTCCATTCCCCCTACACCTTCGCTTCTCCCAGATTGTGTGCAAAATGACAACTAAGCTTTGGGGCAAAAGGCTGGAAGAGAGTGGTACCTGCCTGGGCTTGAAATCAAATCCCATGGGTAATAAATCAAATCCCATGGGTAATAAATCAAATCCCATGGGCCTGCACCTGCCAGGGGGCCGGGCTGGCCCCCGGCCAAGGGGGAGGCTCGTTGGCAGGCAGGCCCCTGTCTTTCCGGCCCCGACACAGTCGTCAGGACATCAGTTCACCTCCTTGGAGCTGCACTGGGGCCCTCAGCTGAGCAGAGAGAGCGGAGCCCTTCCTGCAGGAGAAACCATCGAAGCCGCCCCTCCTGTCGTCGTCATCTGAATCCAAGCCGAGAAATGCACCACGCTGCTGTGACCCACAGTCCGCCCGTTTCATACCTGGCCCCGGGGTCCCATATCCGGCTCCCCACCATAAAACGGCAGAAGGTTTGGGGCCCCACACCACAGGCAAGTTCGCTCTCCTCTGGAAGAACCGAGCTGTTTGGTGCCCTGACTGCTTTTGTTTCCCTGCAGTCCTACAAGTGGCCTTACCTTCCTCCTGTTGGGGACCCCCACGTTTGGGCCCTGGTCTTCTGTAAGATGGAACCCATGGTGCTTACCCCCGATCTGCCAGACATGCCGGCAGTGGGGAAGTCCCGTGGTCTCCTTGCTTATTCATTTATCAAAGAGACTGAAACTGGAGAAGCGAAGGAGGCTCTGGGAGATCAGTAGGGGTACTGAGGACTTGGCCTTGAGTACCAAAGCCAAGCACAAACCGTAAATCTCGGTTCTGCCAAAATCAGAAGAAAATGTCCTAGGGTTGCATCCTTTTCAACTTCTCGCTCAGCAATGAAAACAACTTGATAAATGTTTCCAAGGCAATACTAGATTTTGTACAACTAAATCATTGTTTAAACACGATCATACGTTTTTATAAATATTTCCTTACGTGCTTTGTAGACGTGCATGACTAACACCATCACAGAGTGCTGTGTGTCGGAACCCGGGTAGGAATTCAAGCTATTCGCTTTATCACACGGGTCAAACACAGTTCACCTGCTCGTTTCAACAGCACGGTAGGGTTTTTGGAAAATGCACAAAAGTGCAATTTAAACAGAGCTCGTCTAAAATATCTTGTTGAATGGATTCAGCCACCTCCTGCTTTGGGGAGGAAATCTGTCTACACTAATTCTTGCTCCTTCTACTTCTCTTCCACCCACTGTATGGCTGGCTTTGTCAATTCCCGCACATTTGGCAATCGAGGTCATTTATACCATTCTTAACCAAATCACTGTGCAGGTGGTATGAACAAACACAGGAGAAGCCGTGTGAAAGTCAAGTTCCCAGCTGGTTCAGTAAAGTGATCCACGCTTCAAGTACCTGTGTGTAACCTGAGTTCCCCGTAAGCTGGACATGGTCTCCTCCAAATTCTGCCGCAGGTCAGCAATGTTCTTCACCGTCCGCAGCCGCCGAGCCTCCGGGTCTTCCCCTGGGAAGACGAGGGTTAAGACTATTTTAATTCTCAGACAGATGGTGAACTTCACGGGAGTAGTAACTGTGTTCATGATTTAACAACCATGTTCCATGCTAGGGGCCTGGTTCACCATGGGTGCTTAAGAAGGATTTGAGGATGAATGAATGAAAGAATGAATGAATGAGCGAACAAATGCATGCATGCCCGAAGGAAAGTGTTAAATCCAAGGAGAGCAGTCTTTCTCTTCCCCTTAGGACCCTCCTGAAATGAGTGAAGTCTAGCTGATGGGAGGAGCAAGGAACCTGGTCTGAGACATAAACACACTGTCACGCCGACTCCAATAAAGACACGCACAGGACAGCTCTGGTTCCCAGGAACTACTTCCTGCCCGTGCAAGAGTGGGCGAGGCCGTTTGTTTTCTCATCCAGGGTGACGCATACTGCTGTCTCCTGGACCTATGTTACAAAAGGAACTTGGAATGGCTAAATGATCTGCTCTTATTAACCACAAATATCTCTACAGAGAGAGGTTTGCCTTTTCTTTATCACATCATGTCAAACTCTGGTCCTCTCCTCACTGGCTGTGTGGTCTCGGAGAAGGTGCTAGCACTCTCCACCCTTCAGATGCCACCACCTGAAAGCAGGGACAGTAACGGTCCTGACCTCGAGGGACAGCTGTGGGGACTAAACGGCACAGGGGCTGGAGATCCCGAGCCCGGTGCCCACCACAAGCACTGATCTCATGTCATGGCTGCTGAGCAGGGAGCCATCGAGACGACTCAGGGCTTCATTTGGGAGATAAAGGACTTCCGTTCTCTGGGCAAGATTCTCCACAAAAATGTGTGGCCCAGCAGAGGCCAAGCTGGCACAAGTGTCCAGGAGGACCAGGGGAGTAACTATAGTAACAATGACAGGAATCAAACATCTTCCCCTCAGAGTAATTTCAGGGAGCACTGAAAAGACTCAAGGGCCACAATCAAGGATCTTTAAAAGCCTATGATCATTGAAAGTGTGAAGCAACACTTTAAAAGAAATCTCCATAGAGAACACAGTCCTCGTGGGCAGCAGCAAGTGGGGTCTGCATCAGACACTAAGTAGAACTTCCAGCAATTGTCATTGGGGCAACAGGCTCTAAGAAATGTCATAGACTGAACCTCCCCCTTCTGAGACAGATGGCAGCTTCCTTAGGCTGTTCCTGGCATGCTGGTGCCTGCGGGCTGGGGAACGGACTAAATGGTAGCTGTGTGATTTCATGGAGGAAATTTGCTCCAGCAAATGCTCTACCCTTGCAAATGCAAGTGTTTTCAATTTTCTACCTCTTTTTAACCAAGAGAAATTTGGAAGGCATTTATTTTGTTTTCTCTTATCTGAAAAGTGGTCAAACGTGTATTTCCCACCCAATTCTTTAAAATCCATACATGTAGGTATGTGTTTTTGAATGAAAGCAGTGTGGTTGTCTACCTTCTCCTAATGGCCTTGGAGGAACATAATTACATCGATCTCCCAGGCCACAGTTAAATAAATCTGCTGCCAGTTTGGCCATGTTTTATCGACACAAGGCTGCCAACAAAAGTACCTATCTTTTGGACAGCTCTGAGCCCTGCCGTGAAAATTCATTATGACGCTAATTACCTTCATTAATTAGCTCAATCATACTACAAAGAGTAGAATGATTATTTTATTCATCCATGTTCCTGTTCGTGACATGGTTGCCTGAGTTAACTCTCCTTTGGAAATTCAAAGGTCTCTGAGGTGGAATGGCATCTCTCCACCTGTACGGTCGGTAGCCCCCACCCGTATCTGCAGACGTGCAAGAAATTTTTATTGTCCAACAGACGCTCGGTCAGTGGAGGCTGAAGAAAGGGCACTGACTTTGTACTCTGATGGGTGACGGTCTGGTTCGTGGCACGGCTGCAGAGTAGCCTCCTGACCTTGGCCAAGTCACTCACTCTTCTGAAGGACATCTGCGAAATGGGGATAAAACCCTTCCATTCGCAGGGTGAGGAGGAGGACCGTATGAGGAGTTCCTGGCACAAACGGAGGGCTCATTGAAGCTGACTGTCCCAGTCCCCTCTTGGGGAGCAGTGGTTCCTGCTGGGAAATGTTCGCTTCCCCCAGAGCCCTATACACGCCAGATGCCAGGAGTGACCCAGAAACGCACACTAATAATCCACCTGCCTTGCACAGGTGACCACATCCTGAGCTGTCAATTCTGCCTCCTTGGAAGCCAACCTGAGTGTATGATTTTCCCGCCATCTCTCAGCCTGAACAAAATAAAAATACAACCATGCTCTGTGGAAATTGCAGGATCCTTTCAGCTCATACACAGGGATTATAAAAATTAAGCTGTTCTATGTCTACCTGTGGCTCTTGCATTTGCCAAGGGCAGCCTTCTCTCCAGCCATTGGCCGTGATGGAGAGAACACTGCACACTCTGACCCCACAGGGCTGGGTTTAGAGGATGTCAGGGTGTTACACAAAGAACATGGAAGAAACCTGGGATCTTCACTTAGAAGAAGGCGGCTTAAAGGACAAGCCGCTACATGAAAAGGATCGAAATCGTCTGTGAACTTCCGGAGGCTGGATTATATCCAGGGATTAAAAATGTAAGAGTTAAGAACTGTTACCCATTAAAACCACAAAATATGAAAAGGCCGCCTAATGAAGGAATAATCTTTCTGTCACAAGAAATACCCAAGCAGAGACAGAAAGGTGATTCATCGGTGAATGACAGAAGGGAGTCAAAGGCTGAATAAGAAACAAACAGGATTGTGTGGTTCTTTCTAACTCTACAATCCATGATGCAGGTCTTAACAGTAGTGCTGTGTAAATGACCAAGCACCATCGGAAAATCCAACTATTTGCATAAGCACAGGAAGAACGAAGCAATTGACCAAATAGCCTCATAAATGTCCATTTCTAAATATACCCGCCATTCATTGTCATTTCAAGGGAGCAGTTGCGGATCAGTTAAATTTGACCCCATGCCACTGTGCAGCGTCTCCATAAAATAATTCACCATATAGTCACACACGTGAGCCCTACTGCTTGAATGTAAAGACGAGTCACCCTGACTAAGAAATCTTCATTCACAGCCAACGCCATTTGGCTTAACACAGAAGAATGCTTGAGCAGGCACAACTGGTTGCACTATCTGCCCTCCCCAAAGCAACCGGCAGCACCTCAGGCTGTCTGAGCTCCTAGTTGGTGTTACCGTCCTGATGCAGAGGAGACACGAGGAGAAGGAGAGAAATGAGAGAAAGATTACAAGCTGCAACCTGGCACTATGAAACTTAAGGGTTTTGTGGAATGTTTCTGGATGCTGCTTTTGCTTTTCAAATGTGAATTTTCCTGAGTTCCGGTGCCTGACTCGAATCCACACTACTCCACGGGACACGCATCTGATACACGCCGGGCCCCAAAGCCCTGGCTTGCTCTTTTGATGTGTGTACAGAAGAGCATGATCCGGGATGCGTGTGGAGGCCTGAGCCGTCAGCTGAATGCCACACCCTTCTCTTGGCCCTTTCCCTGAGCTATCCATGCTCTCATATGCAAGGGAGCTGCACACCCTGGAGGAAAGGGACTAAAATCAACGCCGAATATGGAGCCCCAAACTACCGTAAGACACATCAGTTACCCACAGCTTGGAAACTCTGCTCTGTCACAGCGCCCAGTCAGCAGAACCAGAAGGAAACAGTTAACTCGCTCTGATCCTCATACATTAATACTACAGCTAACGGTGAGACGGGTAAGATTCGATTATTCTGGCTGCAGACCAATGCCACAGCTGTGACGTGGCTGTGAAAATGATGTGGTCACGGACAACAAGTCTAATACATGAGTTTTAAACACAGACTCAATTTCTAACCCAACTGTGGAAGTGGAAAGGTAGGAGAATAACACAGCTACTTGCTAAATGCACGGTTTACCACCCACTGCCCCGTGAGAAGTTGCCAGCACGCAGGGCAGAGCTGGGGAACGAGGAAGACAGACCGGGGAGGTGGAAACTCAGATAGCACTGCAGTAGAAAGTCTAACTCAGATGCTGACTTCCGTTCTCCAAGTGGAGAGTGTGACAGGGTAGCATTAACAGGTACATATCTGTGGCGTGAATGACATGACAACTGTGGATTTTCTATTTTTATATAATGCCCCCTCAATCATCATGGTCTGGGCTATACTTAAATAATTTTATTTGGTTTTGGTTTTGGTGAAAGCTGCAGGCTGTAATCTTTCCAATTAATAGAGGATGCTAAGAACAATGTTCAGGTGGTGCTTCCACACAGGAAAGAAAAAAGGAGGCAACACCGTGAGTTCCAACTCTTGCTGGAAAGCGTCTTTATCTGAAGCGTAAACCAGGTGATTCAGAGCTAGGTGTCGGGGCAGCTCAGCGCCCCTGTATGAATGAAATGGAACATACCTTAAAAGATGATCTGCCAACAGGTAAGAGACGTATTTACGATTTGGGGGAGGAAGGGATAGATTGTGTGTGAGAGAGAACAGGAAAGAAAGGGAACAGAAAGGTAAGAAAAATAAATAAATTTGTTTAGCTCGTCAATCAATGCCACAGTAAACCAACTTCCAATTGTGTCCTTCCCGCAGGTGGTTAGACAGCACTGCCAATGGGCACAGTGTTGCGTACTCACCGGCGAGTTCTTCCAGCGCAGGCTGTCCGCTCTTGGTGTAGTGGCCAGGCTCCGTGCTCACACCTGCTGAGCTGGACTCAGCGGTAACATTCCCTTCGGTGTCTGTCTGGGACCTTCACACACAAACCACAGCAGAGACACCTGTCACGCACGGTAACATGCACATCTGGACCCCTGTGATCTTTCCATAGCACCCACTTCAGCAAGGAGCTTTAGGACGGAGCAGACTGGCAGACTGACACTAAATAATTCATTAGCGCGTGTGGAGCAACGTCCTAGACGCAGAGAGAGCCACCGAGCTGTAAAAGATGAAATATTCATCGCCCAGTCGGAGGGGCTGCCATCCGTCACTGGGGACTGCTCCTCCGAATCCCCATCAGGACGCTAAGTCTGGCCAGCAAAATGCCGGGAGTACTGGGTAGACTGAATCATTTGGCTTATGCCAAGCAGCAACTTCTAAGTAACCAGCAACACCGCAAGTCAAGCATAAGGTGACTCCATTGACAGCCCCCACTCCCCCCGCCCAAATCCTCCTGGCATGGCTTCTCTGAAGAGGTGACTGTAAAACCAGTCACGACTGCGTGCCAAGCAGGTGTGCTTGCCCTCCAGGTCTCTGATTCACAGCTCAGATCTCCTGACATGAAAGGTCTCATTGATCATCATTTCAACACTTGACTGAAATGTGTACTTCCCCAAACCTTCTCCATGCCCTTATTTGTCAAGCAAATCGAGGCAACCGCTCCATGTACTGTGTTCTTGCCACAACTACCCCTACCCCTGTTCATTTAGGCATGGCGTGCAAATGCGTAACTACACTCGGATGCACGTCCCTGGGTGTGACAGTATTAATTCATTAGCGTCCTGAGCTAATGCAACCAGATTTCACTCTCTGTGAAGAAAGTGTTTGCCAAGAATGAGAACTCTCTTAAATGTGGGGGATGTGCTGATACACCTCAACTCATCCATCTATTCTTCCTCCCTTTGGCCTCAAGCCAACAGTTCCCATTTCTGGCCATCTCTATCTTTAAAGGATTTCCACATTCCCAGGGGTCCTCTCCATCCCCTGGCCAGAGTCCAGGCTCTCACCATCTCTAACCAGGCCCCGTGAGAGCTCCGTAAACAGGCACGCTGCCTCCAGCGGGGGGCTGTAAATGGCAGCCAGGTGTAGGAACCAGCCCAGGGATTTATTAGGATGGGTATGCATAATAATTTAAAGCTTTTGAATTAGTTTCAACATTTAAAAATCGGGGGATCACACAAGGAATCACCCTTAGCAACTTCTGGCTTTCCAGTAAAAAATAAGCAAGTCTGGGAAGACCGAGCTCCGCCCACTGGTGCCAGGGGGTGGCGGCTCCCCCTAGAGGTGTGGCGTTCCCTCTGCCACAGCCCTGCTGTTCCCAAGACCCCCATCTATACTACCCTTTGGGGGCCCGATCAGGCACCTGAATTCATGACCTCTGTCCCAGACTGTTCCTAGTTCCGGTCCACTCCTCACGCCAGCCTCACTGATCTCTGTGTCACCAATATGACCACACTGTCCTCTGATGAGAGGCCTCCAATGGTTTCCCATTTCCCAAAGAATAAGGTCTAAACTCCTTACAGTGGCAGAAGACACCCCACGTCACACAAGTCTTCCTCCATTTACAGCCCCTTCTCCTGCCCCTCATGCCCTGGACACAGAGCCCTGCCCTCAGCACCACCCACAGGTGGCATCTCTCCATCCCTGGATCTCACCACGCCCTTAGCCATTTTGTCTCTGTAGCTACTGTGACTCCTGCCCACGGGCCCTGCCCCTCTTTCTCCCTTAGTTTGCCCCTAATCTGCCTTTAGGATGCAGTTCCCATGTCCTCTTGGCCTGGAAGCCTTCCCGACTGTGCCAGCGGTCCACTCTGCCCACCCTCCGTATTTTCCCAATGGCTGTGTGTGACGATGTGATGTAACTAAGACATCTTTCCTCAGCTAGATTGAGCGCTCTGAAGGCAAGGGCTGGTTCTTTTGATATGTACGCTGAAGAACACGATCCGCTTAAGCTCATAGGCTGAGTTGGCAGCCAAGGCAGAATCAGTGTGTTGAATGGATGGATGAGGACATTTTAGGCCTAGAAGGATGCTGGGCAGTAGAAGGAACTCCGTAACCTGATAGCCATGCCCATCTGAGGACACCCCTTCCCCTCTGAACCACGGGGCCCTCACCTGGACAGAGGGAATGGCAGGGACCTCTGTTGGCTGCTACAAAAATCACATGTGGTATGACACAGAGGCAGTGACACTGTTATTTCTAAATTGGTAAATATAAATTCATTCTGAGTAATTTTTAAAATGGTTGATCTTCCTTGTATCCCTTGGTTAAATCACTAACATGAAGAGGTTCTAGGGAGAGCCGGGCAGGTTATATACAGTGAGCCGTGAACTTGAGAGAGCGTTTTAGAGCACAAAGGAAATCTACACCATTTTAATAGCTTCTGTAACCTAGTCCCGTCTCCTCACTTTAGAGATGGGGGCAGTCAGGTTCAGAGTGACACCGTGGTTTGCAGAGCCAAGACAGTGTGGTGGTTAACAACATTCTCTCTCCTCACACAGCCTTCGGGTTAAACACTAGCTCTTCTGGCTGTGAGCTCTGTGACTGAGAACGGGTTATTCAATCACTCTAAGCCTCAGCTTTGCTCAGCTATAGAATGGGGATTTCAAAAAGGTAGGCAGCTCAGGGAAATGTGGGAATAAGGAAACAAGCTGGGGCACGAAAAGCTCTCAGCAAGGCTTCCGCACACACTCAGTGCCAAGGCCACACAGGGTGCTGCATCAAGGCCAGAGTCCAGGAGGCCTGACTCCTAGCTCAGTGCACCTCCTCCCGGCCTCCTCCCCGGCTCACCCAGAGCACAAAGGCACCTCGGGCAGCAGCAGGACCTCCAACAGAGTAAGCTTTGCATGGGGCTCTGTAGATACACAGGGCATTTCCTCCTTTCTCCTGCTTGTCAGACACTTGCTCTTAATCACACAGAGTTTTCCCTCTCGTTAAAAAAAGCTTGACATTTTTTTGAAAGGTTAAATATTTTATAATCTTAGAAATAATTACAGACAAAAAAGGGGGGTATGGGATTGATGGTGAACAAAGACTCTTTGTGTTTTAATTTTGAAAATGTAAATCAAGAATCTGTAAACAGCTGCTTAAATATGCATTACCTCAAGACTACGAATGTTACTGGAATGATAAACACTTCACGGGGAGCAACTCAGTGGCCTCCGTGGTTCAGAGAACTGTTGTATCAAAAGCTGTGCGTGTAGACGAGCGCCGAGTCCTTAGCTGAGCCTTGGCACTCCTCGCAGGACTGCTAGCTGAGCTGATGACGTGATTTAATAGGAAGATGACTCGCTCCCAGTTTAAAAGTTCTGGCATGACCCTCCTAAAGGGGAGGGTGAGCGGAGGGAAAGGGAAGAGGGACGAGGCAAGGCTTGACACTCCCGCACCGGCTGGACCTGGCTGGCTTTCCTCTGAAATCACTCCAGCGAGTCCTGCCATCAGCTGCTGGCAGGAATGGTGACGATCTCTTACAACACGACTCAGGCAGGGAGAGAGGGCAGTGGGCACAAGCCTCTGCTTATGAACAGCTATGTAAATACACGTGTGCACATGTGCATCTGCATTTTCTATACAAACGTGCACTGGCTCTCACACTTACGTGTGCCTGCCAATGGGCATCCACACCTTTGGGTGTCTGAGTGTGTGTGTACAGTTGGGTGTGTGTATGTACTTAGGGTAGAGGCTGTAAAATGAGTGCCTAGAATGTGACATCCAATCATTCAATCCTTGGTCCCCCTTTGCTATGCAGACATGTTAGTTATCATTCAACTGTGCGGTGCGGTCAAAGACACTACACGCCCGAAGCACAGATCAAGTTGACGGCCGTGAGCAAAGCTCCGAGGCCTCCTTAGGACCAGCGCTGGGGGAGCTCCCATCCGCCGGGAGAGGACTCCTCCACGTGTATCACGTGGCACCCGGAGCCAGTGTCTGCATTCTGCAAAGGTGTGTGGTGTGCGCTGAGCAGCCAGGAAATCTCGTGAGGCCAGAGCCACACAGGGCCGGCAGCACTGGCCCCACATCTGTTCCTATGGAAGTGCCACCGTCAGAGACGAGAGAGACTGAGGGGCAGATGACAGACAGAAGGGCAGTCAGGCGCAAACACCCAGGCTTGTCTCCTCAGCACAACCTGGGTTCTTTCGTTCTCTCAGCACGGTCCTTCCTCACCACTCCCCTTCTCCCTCACCCTGTCCTCTCCTAACATCCCAGCACACGGCAGGGACCGGAAACATGCTTCACACGTGTGCTGTGGCAAGAGATCAGGAGGGGCTGGAAACTCAAGACAAACACCTCTGTGAGGAGTCTCAGTTGTACAGCGAGGCGGTGTCTACGTTTCTCACGTTTTAAAGTACATTCAGATGCATCGGGACTGATGCTGGAGACTGTCAGGTGCCACCAAACCACCTCTCACGTGGTTGCTCATGCTGCTGCTCTCTCCGAAATGCCCCCACAGCCCCATGGCCCCATGGCCGCTGGGTGAGCTCTTCACCCTGGGTCACCTCAAGTTTCACCTCCTTTCTTTAGCCCTCTCGTGCCCCTCACCAAGCCCTCCCGTATTAATTGTTCCCTCCAGCACACTGTGCATCTATCTACTAGGAGCTTATTGCTGGTGCCTTAGCTGTGGGTTTACATGTTCCCAGGGGGGCAGTCCTGATTCCTGCCCTCGGTTACCCAGAAGCCACCAGAAAGGCTCCGTTGCCCAGTGGCCCGGGAAGCAGGTGGGGGGCGGCTCCTACCTGTACAGGAAAGGCGCGACCGTGGCAGTGTTGGGGTGGCTGTATTGCTGCTGGGGCTGAGGTAGCTGAACGCTGACGGTGTTGCTTCCTGTGGTCTGGGTGGTTCCGACGGACCCACTGACAGTCTGGCTGCTGATGCTGTGGTTCAGGGTGGTCCCTCCTGGGCCTTTCCCTTCTGAGGATGCCAGGCTGGAGGAGGAACTGGAGTGTCTGCCGTCCAGCTGGGGCTTCTGCTGGGGGAGCCCCGAGCTCGGCTTCCCACCCCGGCTCCGCTCCCCCTCCTTGGAAGGGGCAGGGGCACTTGGGGATTTCCCAGGCATGCTCTTCATTCCTGGTTTTGGTATTCCACTGAGGGAAGGGGCTGGGGCCTCCTTCTTGGCACTGCTGAGCTTGCCCCCTTTGGGGATGAAGCTGGCGATCTTGGAGGACTTTTTTGGCATCTCGGTCACCGCTGCCCCACTGGGGTCTTCTTTGGGCCCCTCTTTGAGGTCTGGCCTCTCCGTCACGGAGGCTCTCTTGGTGAGGTCCTTGCTTTTCTCCTTTTCCTTTTCCCGCTGTTGTTTCTCCTTTTCCTTCTCGTTGCCTTTCGGGGAACTCTTCTTGGTGGTCAGGGCCCGGCTGAAAGTTCTCTGGGCAATGCCCTTGAGCGCGATCTTGGGGCTGCTGGAAGTGGGGCCCGCCATGGAGGGCGTGCGGCCGGTGGCCTCCATCTCTTCGCTCTCTTCAACGCTGGACAGAATCTCCAGCCGCTCGCAGCTCGTGTCCCGTGACCCCGGGCCCTCACCCGCCTTGGAACCCGCTTTGCTGTTGAAAAGTTTCAGTTTTTCCAGCATGGACTTCTGATTGTTGGGCGCTGGCTTCAAGGCTTCGGGGCTGGGCCTGGGGGCCTCGGACACGGGCTGCTTGACCGAGAGCATGGAGGACGTGGCGCTGTGCTTCACACTGATGGGCTTGCTGCGCCAGGGCTTGGTGGCTGCGCCGGGCTGCGGGATGGCCGAGGAGACGCTGCAATTAGCAAGGGTGGAGCCGCTGCCACTCTCCAAAGAAGCAGGTGCATTTTCGCTCATTCCGGGGTGGGAGGAGGCTGGGCTGGCCAATGGCTCTGCAGAGATGGGGAAGAGAGGGAAACCTGAATTACGCCTGTGGACCTGCACTGAGGACTCGGGAGGGTCAGCCGTGACTGCTTAGCCAGCCACTCCAAACTCAAACACCTTACAGCTCTACACCTGCTTTGTACACTACCTGCAGTTCAATCTTACCTTCACTTCCCCCTGCTCTCCATCACACACAGTTCCCATTTTGGCATACGCTGTGCAAAGGCACGCTGATCTTACTGTCAAATGCTCACAGAGCACAACAGAGCACTTACATTTGTGGAAAAAGAAACAAACTGAAACCTGCACCACCACGGTGGTGGTGCAGGAAAGATGCAGGAAGTATCTACTGTTTTGAATTATTGAGCCCACAATACCGGTTCCCGGTTATGGGAAACAATCGAACATTATCCAACTTTAACAAAACAATATAGCAGAGACATTAAAACAGAACAGGCAAAAAAAAAATAGGAAAAGAAGGGAAACCAAGTACAATCTTTACAGAAGAAGAATTACTCACAGGAGCTGCTAAGTCCTATCAGAACAGGTCCGTTTTCTCCCCTTTTGGCCCTTTTCAAGAGTTACAAAGATGGTTCACAGTAGACTTAAAATAAGAAAGACTTTTTAGTGCAAGCCGCACATGGCTTCACTGTAGGCAAGACAACACACAGGTTATCTGAGAGTCAAGGCTTTCCCCTTGGCGCTCAGGGAGTGTTTCCCCAGCCAGACTCTGTTCTCAGAAAAGCCTCAACACACTTCCAAACTACAACTGGAATTATCCTGGGAAGGGCGGGTTCCAAAGTGGAGTTCTGCTCCCCACTGAGGCAGCCCATAGCACAGACACGAACACGGTAGCACCCCTGTCGGGAAGCACTCGGAACCCTGGAGCTCCAACTGCTACGCAAGGGCAGCTGTCAGAGCCAAAGTAGCAGGGAAGGCAGGTCGCGGCTGAGCCCAGTGCCCTCGTGCCCCCTACGCCTGCCGCTGCGTGGAACAGACAGGATGCGGCACCTCAGCCCCCACGGAGCACGTCCCGTTTGCAAAGTCACCATGACACGACTTACCTAGCAGCAGCCACTTTCTCACGAAACAACGCCCTGTAGAAAGTTCTCCTACCAGAGAAGCTGTCCTTCCAATTGTCACAAGTGTTTCTGGTTAAACTGCTCATGTTTCTAATTAACTTTTGTCATCCGTAGCTGCTCTGGTGCCCAGAAGCCTGTCGGGATTAACGGCTGCTTCTTCTGCTCTTTCTTTCTTTCCTTTTTTTTTAATACCTATGTTCCGCTGCCTTCTAGCAACAGAGTAAACTATACAGAGCGGCTTTTTATGATTTAAAAGTCAACGGCCGCCAAAGCCGCGTGAAGGCAGCCCCTGTGTGGGACACGCTCGCTGAGCGAGCGGTGGGGGTGGGGGTGGTGTGGGGAGTGGGGGGGGGAGTTCTGGGCAGAGGAGCGGCTTCCCTTCACTCTCAGCTGCTCAGGGAAGCCACAGCTCCAAGGGTGATCCAAAGCAGACCTCCCAATGTTTTCAAAGACATACATCTTCCTGACTTGCTGGGGATTTGGGTTTGGGTGGGGGTGGCGATGGAGGGGTGCTGCACAACCTTCCCTAACAAAACTCACGGGGCGTCACTGGATCTTTCCCTGGGAGAGCTGGAGACTGGCTCGAAAACAGGCTCACAGAACCCACCCACCCTGTCAGCCAGCCTGAGGCTCTCCCCGGGCCTGAGGCTGCTCCCAGAGGGCCTCCCGGGTATCAAGAGCCACAGTGCTAGGGGCGCAGCGAAGAGGGGATTACTGCCCAACTTTCTGGGTGAGGACACTGAGGCTCAGGAAGGGCTAAGAGCAGACCTTAAATCGGGCAGCTAGAAATGCACGTGTCTGGGGTTTGAACCCAGGGCTCCCAACGCAGTGCTCCTTTGGGACTGCGTCACAGCTACTTCCTTTGATGAAGAGTACATTTGAACAACACCCACTTAAAAGACCAGAGTGCTGTCCAGGCACCGCCATTCCTATTGCTTAGGTCTGTTTACGACATCTGAGGTGAGGCCTGGAGAGGAGGCAGCCTATGCCACTGAGGCCAGCTCTCCGGAGGGAATCCAAATGACCCCCCAACACCGAGTTCCATTTCTCTTAGGACAGCTGTCCTTCCCTTTACCTGAGCTCGTGTCTGGAGCACAGAATGAATGAATATCACCAGTCACTCATTCAATGAGCAGCCACTATGTGCCAGACACTGACCTGGGCCCTTGGGCTACAGCAATGACAAACACCGGTCCCTGCCTTCCTGCAGTTTACATTGTAGCAGGGAGGAACAAATGAGAGTCGGTGTCATTATTAATGCACACGTTTATCATTTGTTAGAAAACAAGTGCTAAGGTAAAGGGGGCTTTGGGGGGCATGTTGCAACAAAGTCTTTACAGGAACCACAACGTCACATTCAGAGACACCCACCTCTTTCCTACAGAAGGTTTAGGCACATTCCCCATTGGCCATACGTGCATGAATCACGGACTTCAGAGCTCCCACACATTCCTTGGGACCTTATAAAGCTTATTTGAAATGGTTTTTATGAGAAATGGCCCTCTGTAGCATTTCTGTGGATTTTCACCATGAACATACACAGCTGGAAACTGACCAACAACTAACGAGCTAACTATCGGCTGACCCCAGCTCCACAGACACCTGGTTTGTCTAGGTGAAATGTACAGACTGACTGAAGGTGTTTGTCTCCTTCAGGAAAGTGCCATGTGGAAGACAAGGGCTCGTACAATGTAGACAGGACAGACACACTCACAGGACAGGACAGGACATTCACATCATTGCTTCTCAGCCCTGCCGAAACAGCGCCCAGAACCCTCTCCTGGTCTTTCAAATGCCAGCTCCATGCCTTCTCCTTCCTCACCTGCGACCCTCGGGCTGAACATACTGCCTGGTCTGCATCCGATGGAACTGCTCCCTACTCTGTGTTTTCCTAGGACACTGCCCACCCCCACCCCTGAAAAGGATGTGGGAGTGCCACCTACTTATGCCAGGCACGGGAAACAGAGCTGCATAAAATACAGCTGCTGCCCTATAGGAACTCACTGTCCAAAGGGGTAACAGACCTCAAAGCAGAGCACAGAAACTGCGTAAAAGGGAGGTAAGGGCTGCACAGCCTCAAGGACTGGGATCCACTAGTTCTCCCCAGAGTGTCTGGGAAACCTTCACAGGAAGGTCACCCTCGAGTTTGTTGCGTCACCTCTCTGCTAGGGTTGGTTTGATATTTCGCTTGTCTGTGAGTTCCTCCAGGACAGCTCCCCCACCTGCCGGTTCATCTTTGCATCCCAAAGCCTGCCAGAGCACAGGAAGGAGTTGGTACAGTGGACCCTTGAACAACGTGGGGGTTAGGGGTGCCAACTCCCCGTCCCACAGTGGAAAAATCACATATAACTTTGACTCTCCCCAAACTTACCTACTAATAGCCTACTGCTGACTGGAAGCCTTCCCATTAACACAAGTAGTCAGTTAACACAGATTTTGTATGTTACCCCTATTATTTACTATATCCTTACAATAAAATAAGCTAGAAAATGTGTCATTAGAAGTCATAAAGAAGAGAAAACACATTTGCAGTATTTACTGGGGAAATGTATGTATAGTGGACATGCACAGTTTAAACCTGTGTTGCTCAAGGGTTGACTATAAATGGTTTCTGAACTATTGGTTAGTAGTTTTGACCTTTGCAAGTCACATTTAAGGCAACGGAAACATAAGATTTGTGATTAGTCATTAGGGCTTTATTAAAACTTTCAGTCTGAACTCGGGAGGAAAAACCCAGGATTGGGATTCAGAGCTTCAGAATTTCCACTTGGCATTTAGCCTGGACTCTGCTGGTTACGAAGTCGTGGGGACATTTCAAGGATATGCATTACATCCGTAAATGGTAGCACTCGGAGATGGCTCTGAACTTGGGTTCTAGAACAGAAGTCCCCTCAGTAGGACTATAAGGCACCAGGGCACCTGAGGAGCAAATCATCAATCCCTTGCACTTATTGTCATGGCCAGAAATCCCTTTAACTGTGAAGGGGCTCCAGGTCATGAGGTGTCTTGCCCGGGTTAACTCGACACAGTTCTGTCATGCCTAAGAATATCACCACACCAGTGACCTCGGATCTTGGCTGAAGTGGTGGCTTGGGGCTTGCTCCTCTTTCTTTGGAAAGCAGCCGTTTTCAGGACCAGGGTGCTGAGGTTGCTAGCATGAGAGTTTCCTTACCAAGCCTCAAACTTTGTCACCAACAAACAGCATGACCCTAGATAGGCCATTTTGCCCCTCTGCGCCTCAGGTGCCCCATAAAAAAGAGGATGAGCTATTTCTCTTGATCCCTTTCAGCTCCATTTCTATTGAAATCTCGGTGAGTCTCCAAGAGGTCCTGTGAGGCCGGGCCACAGCCAACCATGTCCCACTGCACGCAGCCTGCACTCACTAAGTTCTATCGTTACCCTGCACTGCACCACACAGGTGCTCCTCTATCCTCAGACAGCGCCCTCCACAGTCCGTTCAAGATGCTTACAAATAAATGGGGAAAACTGCCTGGATCAAGGTATAGTTAACCTCGAATGAGTTGCTAGTCAATTCAGAAACACTAGGATTCTATGCAAACGAGTGTGAAGGGTGAGTTCTTTAAAATTAAGAACGCTTCTCTCACTAATAACTGCAAGCTCATTTCTTTTCTCATGTATAGGCATCTTTGTTAGAGCAAAGAATTTAAGAGGGAGAAAGAAGGAAAGCACCAAAGAAGGTTCTGGATATCAGTGTTGTCCCAGCAATGGTATGTGGGCCACTGGAGTAGGGGAGATTATTTTAGATGGCACATGGACGAACACTTCTGTATTTTAAAAGTTGTGTATTTACTTTATTGTATCTTAGAAAGATAATTGGCCCCTCTATAAATTTGCAGTTTTGTGAGTATTAAACGTTGATTTAGGGAAAAGATGAAACAAACAAAAACACAAGCAGTTCACAGATT